AAAAAAAAGCCCTCCCCTCTTGCCTCTTTACCTTACAGCTTGCAGGGGCCGGTGCCAAGGCTTCTTCGAACAGACACGTACATAATCTTTCTTGTTGATGTTCTCCAAGAATTTGACATAGAGTCGTTGGTACCGGTTCTTAGCATCGCCAAAGTAGCCCAGATACTGAGCAGGTCAAGCATGAAAGAAAGGCATTGAATGTCAAAAAGGGTGATGAAAGGGGAGAAGCTTCCACACATGACTTTCCCTCCTCCAGGGGAGAGACATGGAGCTGAAAATCCAACCCATTTCCCGAGACTATAACTAGATGAAGCCCAAATGCCTGCAGAGATCACCCCAAGTACAAAATTGGCGACATGCATGCGTCAGCAGGATGCACTAACTCATTTCATCACCCATAAAAAGTCATTTGCATTAGATTCCGCTTCAGAGAATTGGAAGGGATCCCAAGGGGTCACCTAGACCAACCCCACCTGTTGCGGCAGGAAATCTAAAGAATCTCTGATAGTAGACAATCCAGTCACTCTCCAGACACCTCCAATGAAGGAGAGTCCACCGCCTTCATGCCATGATCAAGGCAGAAAAGCATGCTGGAAGAGGGGAGCTATTTCTTCCACCATGGATGGAAGAAGAAGAAATAAGGTTCAAAATTAGGGTGGGGTTATCAAAAAACTGAGTTACATCCAAGATTCTCCATATAATTATGCAAACCCATGAGCCCCCCCCTCCCCCACCTCTGAAGCTAAAATTCCCCCATCTGTGATCAATGCGATTATGAACCTACATGATGAATGGAAGCAAAGCACACAAGTACCGCATCCTCGAGATGGGCCAGGCGGCAAGGAAACTTACATTGCTGGTAGCGCAAAACTGACGCTGGCCATCCTTGATTTCAGGAGTGAACTTCTGAAGCAAAGCTTTCTGTACCCGCCAAATTGGCGGTGGCTCCCGCCCAGTCTGAAGGGCAAGCTGGAGAAGGACAAACAAAAGTGAGGTACTGATCACAGAAATGATGCTAACAGCCTCTTGCCAACAAGCCGAACTGCTGCCTTGCAGCAAAGACTGTAAAAAATAGCTGCCTTAAAAAATAACAAAGACGACAAAGAGATCCTGAAATTCCTCCACAATTTCTCTGTCTTCATGCGACTTTCTACAGCGGCTACCACTAAGGTGGACTTTCTCAGTCACTTAAGCGACTTCACTCTCCAAGAGGTGAGTATAAGAATATTTGTAGTAATGATAGTTCATCTGATGAGACTAAAGTTTCCTTCAAACGTTAACTTTCATTTTATTTTGGAGGACTGCTTTGGTTCCACAATGAAGGTATTTAGAAAAACTGAATTGTAGCTTGTTAATTACAGCTTGGTGGCAGTCCACATTCTGAGCTGAAGCCATATGGAAAAGCCACCCAGCTACAAGAAAGCTGGCCTGGGTCTTGCCAGTGCTTGGATAGGCTAGGGTCAATGAACCCTATGCATGAGTTGACTAGAGAGCTCAGTGAGATGATGTATATGCTTGCAGGACCAGGGGTCAGGTATTTGATTCCCCATTGTGTGTCCCCTAAGAAGAGCCAGCCTGTATAGACTTAGGCAAGCTGCAGAATCCGAGGGCACCTCCAGAAGAAGGAACTGGTAAATCATTTATGAATAAGTTATACCTAAGAATCCCTGGCATAGGATGACCTGGTTTTATGACATCAGCAAAAAATTATGTTTCCCTCCTCCACAGTTTATGACATCCTTAAACTCTGCAAGTAAACTGGTCACGCTTAGGCTTCACTGAAGGCAGTGGGATTTAAGTTAGCCACAATTAACGTTCCACAGCAATTTCAACAAAAACTAACTGCAAGGGTCCCCAATTAAGACCCAACATCTGATAAATCAATAAAAACAGGCTGTCGCTTGTGTGCACATCCTGTATTCTTAATTATATTATTGGTTCATATCCTAAGGTACTCTTGTTTTCCATTCAAAAAAGGTTTTTTTTTTTTACAATTTTATTTAAAGTTCAGACTGATACATTTGAAGGGATGGCCCATTCTGAAATCTTTTTTGTTTTTGTTTTGGAGATGTAACATTTTGGGGCTTTGATAAAACAAGTTTTC